AGTTAAGATCCTAGTTAAGGCCGGCGCCGCGGCTCACTAGGCTAATCCTCCGCCTTGCGGCGCTGGCACACTGGGTTCTAGTCCTGGTCGGGGCGCCGGATTCTGTCCCGGTTGCCCCTCTTCCAGGCCAGCTCTCTGCTGTGGCCCGGGAGTGCAGTGGAGGATGGCCCAAGTGCTTGGGCCCTGCACCCCATGGAGACCAGGAGAAGCACCTGGCTCTTGGCTTCGGATCGGTGCAGTGCGCCGGCCACAGCGCGGCGGCCATTGGAGGGTGAACCAACGGCAAAGGAAGACCTTTCTCTCTGTCTCTCTCTCTCACTGTCCACTCTGCCTGTCAAAAAAAAAAAAAAAAAAAAAAAAAAAAAGATCCCGGTTAAGACACCAGTGTCCCACACCAGTGTCCCACATCCTCCCACATCGGAGGGCCTGGGTTCCTCTTCGGGCCCCAGCTTCCTGCTCATGCAGCCCCTCGGGGCAGCGGTGGGAGACCTGGGTGGGTGGAGTTCCTGGCTCCCAGCTTCTTCTTCCAGGACGTTGCAGGCTGGCATTTGGGGAGTGGACTTGTGGCACTCTCTTTCTCTGTTTCTCACAAATAAATAAGTACGAAATACAGCATTTTAAAAACTATTTATTCATTTATTTGAAAGGTAGAGCCACAGAGAGAGGGAGAGGGAGGGAGAAAGACACACACACACACACACACACACACACTCTATCCACCGGTTCTCTTCCCAATGGCTGCCCGTCCAGGCGAAAACCAGGAACCAGGAGCTTATTCCAAGCCTCCCATGTGGGTGGCAGGGGCCAAATCATTTCTTTTTTTCCTTTTTTTTTGGGGACAGGCAGAGTTAGACAGTGAGAGAGAGAGAGACAGAGAGAAAGGTCTTCCTTTTTCTGTTGGTTCACCCCCCAAGTGGCTGTTACGGCCGGCGCGCTGTGCTGATCCGAAGCCAGGAGCCAGGTGCCTCCTCCTGGTCTCCCATGGGGTGCAGGGCCCAAGCACTTGGGCCATCCTCCACTGCACTCCCGGGCCACAGCAGAGAGCTGGACTGGAAGAGGAGCAACCAGGACAGAATCCGGCGCCCCGACCGGGACTAGAACCCGGTTTGCCAGCGCCGCAGGCGGAGGATTAGCCCCCAAGCATTTCGGACATCCTCTCTGCTGTGTTAGCAGGGAGCTGGATCAGAAAGTGGAGCAGCTGGGACCAGAACCGGTGCCCACACGGGATGCCGGCGTCACAGGAGGTGGCTGAACCTGCCATGCCACAGCACCAGTCGCAAAATACAAAATTTCTTGCGACGAAGGAGCTCCCACTTCCCTCCATCCTTCTCCACCTCTCCACAAACCTTGAGGGCTGGTAGACCCTCCCCCTCCAAGAAATCTTGGATTCCTTAAAAACGGGGTGGGGGTGGGTGGGTGGGGTGTCATTGCCTAGGAATGCAAGTATCCCCTGGCTGCTGGGAAGCCCCTCTAGGGGGGCCCTCAGTCCCCTGTGGGCCTGGCAGGGGTTGGGGGGGCAGCAGGTGTGGGTGCCGCCTGTTCCCCTTGGCTTTGTCCTGTGTTGCTGATTGCTTTATTGCTGTTTTCAGTCAGATATAATTCCAGCATTTTCCATAATCGCGATCTCTTCCCGGATAGCAGATTGTTGCACAAAGCCCGTGCACCCGGAGGAACGCGTCCCGGCAATTAGCGTGTTTAACATGCAGCTCCCGACGCCCCTCCTCCCAGCCCTCATTTAGCACTTTGGAAAGCGCTTTGTGATTTTTTTTTCTTGGTGGGGGGGGGGAGGTGTTTACATATCCGGTAACAATTCTCTTGCCTAGTTGCAAAACACGAAGCCATTGCGTCGGGAGACAGATGGCAGCTAAATGAAGTTTAATTAAAGAATGAGTGTTTTGGAATGAAAATGCCTTCAAAAAGCACGGGTCGCTGCGATGCACAGAGTTGGCATAAACTACATCTGGGTGCAAGGCTTTGGAGATCCCGGGGTCGGTGCGGCGTCACCCTGGGATGGGGGCTGGGTTGGGGAACACCCTGGGCCAAGCCCAGGACAGGGCCTGGAGCACACACCCCCTGCCCGGACATACCTCCTGCCGCGGGAGGGGGTGGGAGCATCAACCCCCCCCCCCCCCCCCCCGCCATGAGGTCGCCCCAAGGCGCAGCTTTGCTGCACCGGACAACCCGCCTCACTGCACGCACCTGTACCGCGGGCGCCACAGGGGACAGGTGGGGAGGCCCTGCAGGCCGGCTGGGCCGCGAGGCATATCTGGTTCCCCAGCTGGCTCAGGGCGCAGCCGGCCCTGCCCCGGACGCCGCCGCGGTTTCGCCCCCGCCGCGCCCAGCCGGGCAGGAGCCACTTCCGGCTCTGGCTGCAGATCTGAGCGCCCGGGGTCGGGGCGACGACAGATGGGCGCCAGGAGCCTCGAGGTGGGCCGGGCACGCACTCCAGCCTTGGAAAAAGGAGGGCGTCTGGATGGTGGGAGGTGAGGTTGGCGGGGCGGGGCTGGGGTGCGTGCCAGAGGAAAAGCCCAGGAGGGATCTAACACCAGGTCATCTGGTCAGATGGGGGATGGGGCAGGTGGTCCCAGGGCAGGAGGGCTGACCGCCAGGTAGCAGGTGCAAAGCGTTTGGGACCACCAACCCCTTGATTTCATCAGAGGCTTCAGCTTGGAGGGCAACATAGGGGGTTGGCCCTTACCCATCCTGGAGAGGAAAAGTGGGGTTTAGCTCATGGTGGGGTCAAGGACAGATGGGGGGCACAGAGATTGTGGGAGGGAGGCAGCTCGCTGGTAGCTGGAAGGGGGTGGGGCTGGCAGCCCGCTGCGTGGCCAGGGCAGGGCGTGCCAGGCCTGTGGCTTCCAGCATCTTTCCAGGCTGGGCCGAGGCCTCTCCTCCCGGGCCCGGGGTATGGGGCTGACCCACAGGGTGGACATCACGCAGCTGTCAGAACTGGGTTTCCTCCACACCGCGGGCTGCGCCCTCCTTATCCTCTCCCCCTGCCCAGCTGCGGAACTGCCCCACGGCCTCCCGCCTCTGCTTCCCCCTCCACCCTGCAGACGAGGGCACCCTCCCCAAGTGCCCCTGGGGGGCCTCATTTCCCTCTGGAAGTGGCCTTGGCAAAGCCTGTGAGGTCTTCCACGTGGGAGGACCTTTAAGAAGATCCCACCCAGCCCAGAAAGCTCCTGCTTCCACTCACCTGTGCAGCCCGAGGCCCCGCCCACCCCAGGAGGCCCCGCCCCTGGGATGCACCTGGTCGCCTCTCCCTCTCTTCTGTGTCCTGCCCACGCCCAACACCCTCTTCAAGTCTCAGCTTCCTGGACCTGATTTGTGCAGCAGGGGGAGGTGACCCTGTTTCGGGCTGGCCTCCCCCACGAGGGCCCCAAACCTGGGTGCTGTCTTCCCAGCGGGAGGGCAGGCAGGGCCCAGGGGCTGAGTCAGGCTGTTTTGACTTCTTCCTGCCTCCAGTCCTGTCCCTTCTTTCAAGGTGCACCTGCCACCAGCGTGGCCCCGGACACACTCAAGGAGTCAGGGCTCCAAGGAAAGTGCTCCCCAGCCCACGATGCCCGTCTGCAAGGTGCCTTGGGCCCAGCTGCAGGGTCTGACTTCCCCTGAGTTTCTGGGCTCCGTGCAGTGCCCCTTCCCCCACTGTGTGCCCCCTGGGAGGGTCCCAGGGGACAGGAGGTGACCGTGTGCGGCTGGTACAGAGGGACTGTGGCTGTGGAGCCGGCACAGTGGGAGGCTTTGTCTGTGCCTCTCTGGTCTTCTTATCCCGAGGGCAGCAAGGAGACGGGTGATGTAGGTGGGGCCATGCTGCGTGGCCAGGGAGGCGGGCCCCAGCCGGCCACTGAGCCGGGCCTTTCGACTTCTCCCCTGGTGACAGCTGCGGCACCAGACACGAAGAGAAAAGGCATGCCAGCGTGGCTGTGGCGTTTTTTCTGTGTTTTTTGTGTAACTTATTTAAAAAGGCCTTGGTGGCAGGAATATAGTGTAAAAATCATTGGAAAAACTAAAAGGCATCGATACATATCCGAATATACACTTTGTACATAAATTACATTTCCTTTAGTGTCTTGTGAGTGAGGTTGCGGTTCGCTGCTGAGGTCTCAGTAGTTGAGGGGTCCCGGGAGCTGCACGTTCAGGCCGGCGTAGTCCACCATGTACATCGGCCACTGCTGGAGACACACAGGGCAGGCATGGCCGTCAGGGCACCTGGCTGCTGGCCGCTGGCCGCTGCACTCCCCACCGCTGCCTCCCAGGCTACTGGGGCTGCTGAGGCCATGTAGTCTGCTGACTGTCCCCACCCACATCCCAGGATCACGCATGCGCTCCCACAGACCTGGCTCACTGGGAGGAGGAGGAGGATGGGGGGAGGACGCCCCGCCCCAGTGGGCTCTGGGGTGCTCCAGGGAGGAGTGGAGGGAGACGGGATCCAAGGGTGAGGAACTCCACTTCCCAGTGTGGCCCAACATTCGCCCCTTCTGGACTCGGTGCGTCACAGGTGGGGTGGGGTGAGTGGGTTCTTCCCCCCCCGCCACAGGTGAGCCATCCTGACTCCCCTCTCCCTCATCTACACACGCGGGGAACCCCCGCTCCTGGCGGGGATGTGCCGAGCAGGCGGGTGTGTGCACACAGGTGTCGGGCTCCCAACCGTGTGGGACTCTGGGAGTCCCTGCCCTGCCCTGTCCTGGCCTCAGCCTGGCTGTCTGTCCAGCGGGGATGGGAACTCCTGCCCGCGTGCCCGGGAGCCCCACAGAGAGCAGGCTAGGGCAGGTGCGCCCGGCGCCTCCCCGTGCCCCACCCCCACAGCCCGGAGGGAGGGGCAGAGGCCGGGAGCGTGCGGCTTTACCACGACTGATATCTGGTTGGCGGATGCCACGGACTCCGGGTTGGAGGACGAGGAAGAGGAGGAGGAGGAGGAGGAAGACGAGACTGAGTTTCCCTCCGACACCCGCTTTCTCTTGCGCTTGGGAAGGCTGCTGTCTTTGGCTGCTGGGAGAAAGGGGAGTGGGTGACAGATGCTGGGGTCTGGGCGCGGCTCCGCTCACCTGGTCAGTATCCCTGTTCCCAGCACGCCCAGGTCCAGCCTTGGTCTTGAACCAGACCGGACTCCACCCTCCTGCAGCCTTGCCTGCGTTGCACGCTGTCCCCAAGGAGAGCACCTCACCGGCTCAGAGCAGGCCCCAGCCCACCCAGCCTGCGGCCCGGAGCCCTCCCTGGGGGCTGGCACCCCACGGACCCCAGCTTAGGGGGTGCCGGGAAGAGCGCAGTGTGACCAGGCTCGCAGAGCCCCCTAATGAGCCCGAGCGCTCGTGTTATCCAGGATGAAATGTGAGATCTTGCAAGGTTGCTGACAGCATCCCGCGAACGGATGTGCAAAGCACACACCTGGCACCCGGCCAAGGCTCAGACACTGGGACCCGTCAGGAAGACGGCTTCCGGAGCGCCCTGAGTTGACCGAGCCTGGGCAAGGCGACAGGCAGCGTCCCCGGGGCAAGGAGCTCGGGTCGAGAGTCCCAGGGCCTAAGCTTAAGTTCCACGGCTGCCACCCCCAGGCTGTGTGACTCCGGGGAAATTTATTGACCTCTCTGAGCCAAATGGAGAAAACTGGGGCGGAGACTCCAAGGAGACTATGTATGTGACGGGCTCCTTGTAAAGGCTGCTGTCTTTGGCTGGAGGCTGAGGCCATGCAGGCTGCTGACTGTCCCCACCCGTGTCTCAGGATCACGCATGCGCTCCCACAGGGGCTGGCACTGTGGCACAGCGAGAAAAGCCACCAGCTATGGCACCGGCATCCCATGTGGGCACCGGTTCAAGTCCCGGTGGCCCTGCTTCTGATCCAGCTCTCTGCTATGGCCTGGGATAGCAGTAGAAGATGGCCCAAGTCCTTGGGCCCCTGCACCCCCATGGGAGACCCGGAAGAAGCTCCTGGCTCCTGGCTTTGGATCAGCCTAGCGCCAGCCATTGTGGCCATTTGGGGAGTGAACCAGCAGATGGAAGACCTCTCTCCATCCCTGTCTGTAACTCTACTTCTCAAATATTTTTTACAAAGTCCCAGCTGCTCCACTTCCAATCCAGCTCCCGACTAACATGTCTGGGAAAGCAACAGAAGATGGCCCAAGTGCTTGGGCCCCTGCACCCACGTGGGAGACCCGGAAGAAGCTCCTGGATTTGGACCGACTCATCTCCAGCCATTGAGGCCATTTGGGGAGTGAACCAGCAGGTGGAAGATCTCTCTGTCTCTCCCTCTCTCTGTAACTCTGCCTTTCAAATAAATGAATGAATGAATAATAATAATGACAATACTAATAAAAGCTCATGGTGCCGGGGCATTTAGCTTAGCTGTTAACACGCCTGCAATGGGCACTGAGGACCTGGGTGTGATTCCCCAGCCCTGCTCCTGACTCCAGCTTCCTGCTGATGCAACCTTGAGAGGCAGCAGGGGATGGCTCAAGTGCATGGGTCCCTGCCACCCATGTGGGAGACCTGGATGGAGTTCCCCGTTCCCGGCTTCAGCCTTGGCCCAATCCTGGCTGTTGTATTTGGGGAGTGAACAAGCAGGTGAGAGCTCTCTCTCTACCTCTCAAGTAAAATGAAGTAACTCCGATTATGAAAAACTAGGCATGGATCTGCAAAATGTTTGCACTAAAATAAACGTTATTTTTTCATTGCAGTTTTCCCTGGATATTTCCAAGTCCCTGGGGGTAACGGGGCAGGGCCTGGCTGCCGCTGAATGAAGGGACACGGACCCGTTGCAACGTGGCCATCAGGAGCCGCCCCACTGGTGTCCGGAGGCTGAGTGGCCGGCCCCTGCGTGGAACCCCGACATGCCCCCGGAAGGGTCTCCTTGGGCCCGAGCCTGGGGGTCTGTGACGGGCTTAAAGAAGGGACCTTGGACAGCAGGCGGCCCCATCCCAGGAGCTGCCTGGGTTTGGAGCTGGAGACCCTACGGGAGTGAGGAGGCAGAGCTGTGGGCTGCTGTCCCCAACCTCGGGCTGGCCCCGGGGCTGTGGGCAGCCTGAGACCTTAGGAGGACCACACATTGGAAGTGAGATTGTCCACTTCTGCGTCTCTGCCCTTGAGCTGAGGGCGGCTCCCAAACCCGGTCCCTTGCTGTGAGCCGACACACACACCTGCTCTGTGAGAGCTCCTGGCTCATAACCCCTCAATTCCTTGCACTTCCCTAATGCTAATGAGTTGACTCCACCGACCAATGGCTGGCAGCCTCCAGGGAGCTTCAGGATGGGGGCGGGGTAGGGGGGCGGGACCCGGACTCCTGGACATCCCTGCAGGCTGCTGCATGCGGGTGGGCAGCTCTGGGGTCCTGTGCGCCCCCTGCGCCGCTCCCCCTGCGTGTCTTCATCTGTAGCCTGTGTGGCGTCCTTCAGACTACGCCAGTCACCGGAGGCAGGTGAGTCCTTGAGACCTGGGAGCTGTGTGAGCGAATGGGGGTCGGGGGAAGCCCCAGTATCGAGCCAGTTGGTCAGAGACCGCCTGGGGCTGGTGATGAGCATCGGGGCCTGGGGCCTGGGCCCTCAGCCTGCGGGCCCTGGCACTGCCTCTGGGTAGACGGGCTCGGGCCTGAGCTGGATACAGGACGCCCAGCTTGTGTCTGCATAGCTTGTTCATTTCCCTCAGAAAGGTAGGGGGAGAGAGAGAGAGAGAGGGAGAGGGAGAGACAGAGAGGTCCTATCTGCTGGTTCACTCCCCAAATGGCTGCAACAGCCAGGTTTGGGCCAGGCAGAAGCCAGGAGCCAGGAGCCAGGAACTCCACGTGGGTGGCAGGGGCCCAAGGACTTCAGCCGCCACCTGCTGCACCAGAGAGCGGAAGCCGGGACTTGAACCCGGGCACTCCTACGTGGAATGTCGGTGCCAAACGGTGGCTGAGCCTGCTGGGCCAAACGCTTCTCCGGGGCCTGGGACCTGGTCCCCGGCACGGCAGAGTCACCCGGGCGGCTTCTCCATCACAGCCTTCGCACCAGGGGCCTCCTGGAAGGTTCTGGGCGCTGGGCAGATTCGGGCAGCATCGAGCCGGCCTCACCCCTGGGGGTCACATGTCACTGCTGCCCCTGCCCAGGTCGCTCCACTGTCCTACTTGGGGCCCCGGCCCCTGCTTTGGGCTTGTGCTTTCTCCTCTCTAGCCGATGTCACGCTCCCAGCCGTGCCAGCGCAGGGCGCCTGCAGTCTCTGGGGGTAGGGGGGCCTGGGGGACAGCAGGAGGGTGGGGCAGGGGCCACGCTTTCCTGGGGCGGAGAGTGGGGGGGGGAAGGGGTCCCACCTGGCCCACCTCTGGCTGAGCCTTTGTGGCTCTGGGGCCGGGGAGGCGCACGGGCAGCCTCTTCAGCCTCCGACTCACCTGGCATCTTGGCATCGTTGCAGATTTCTGCGAAAGGTCTGAAAAAAGAAAGGGACAAGGCCGCTGTTAGCAAAGCGGCTTTCCACCTCCTCCCGGCCACGGCGACCCCTCTCCCGCCGCTGCCGCTGCCGCCGCGGCTCCAGCCGGGCGAGGCCGGATCCAACCTGGCGGGCCTCCTCCCCGCCACGCCCCAGCAGGTGCAGCACGGCAAGCAGCCCCTCTGGGCCTGCCTCGGACCCACCGAGAGGGGGCGCTGCCTGTGACGGCCTGGGCTCCCCAAATGCCTGCTTACACCCCAAAGTCTGCACTAATACGTAGGGGAGACATCATCCCACTGAGGCCGCTGGGAGGTGGGGCAGGCCCGGGGCTGGGGGGAGGGGCACTAGGCCGGGTGGGTTACTGGAGTTTGGCCCGGCTTCTCTCTGCTTCCTGGCTCACCCCGCCGCCTGCCAGACCCACGGGGCTCCCGGATCGTGAACCATGAACCTCCAGGCTGAGAGCCACATTAAACCTTCTCCTTCCCAAGAGAGCTCCTCTTGGGTATTTTAAATAAAAAAGGGATGAAGACACTGACCAAGGGATTGGAAACACTGCCAGGTGTAGGTGCACTGGGCGCTGTCCAGGCATGGCCTTTAAACTATGCCTTCAGGGGTGGGTGCTGGGCGGCCGGCTTGGAACACCCCCATCCCGTATCACAGTGCAGGCCTGAGGCTTAGCTACCCTGCTTTCTGTCCAGCTTCCTGCAGATGCCCCCGGGAAGGCAGCAACAGATGGCCCAAGGGCTCAGGCCTCTGCCATCCGCGTGGGAGACCTGGATGGAGTTCCTGGCTCCTGGCTTTGGCCTGGCCGGGCCCTGGCTGTTGCAGGCATTTGAGGAGTGAACCAGAGGATGGAAGATTTGTTTCTGTCACTCTTTTAGTTGGCTGAAAATAAATGTTTTTTTTAAAAAGTCTTCATTTAGGGGCCGGCGCTGTGGCGTAGCTGGTAAAGCCACCACCTGCAGTACCAGCATCCCATATGGGCGCGGGTTCAAGTCCTGGCTGCTCCACTTCCAATCCAGCTCCCTGCTATGGCCTGGGAAAGCAGTGGAAGATGGCCCAAGTCCTTGGGCCCCTGCACCCGTGTGGGAGACCAGGAGAAGCCCTTGACTCCTGGCTTTGGATTGGCTCAGCTCCAGCTATTGCGGATAACTGGGGAGTGAACCAGTGGATGGAACACCTCCCCCCCACTCTGTAACTCTGCCTTTCGAATCAATCAATCAATCAATTAAAAAGTATTCATTTAAATTTGATTGATTGATGCTGCGATCAATGCTGCGACACCAGCATCCCATATGAGTGCTGCTGGTTCGAGTCCCCGCTGCTCCACTTCCCATCCAGCTCCCTGCTAATGGCCTGGGAAAGCAGCAGAAGTTGACCCAAGTGTTTGGGCCCCTGCACCCATGTGGGAGATCCACATGCGACTCTGGCCTGGCCCAGCTCTGGCTGTTGCCATGTGGGGGATGAACCAGCAGACGCAAGATCTCCTTCTCTGTCTGTAACTCTTTCGAATACATAAATCTTTAAACATCTTTGATTGACTATTTTATTTTCAGTGGTATTTGTGCAGAGCCATCTGGCCCCTGGTGGAAGACACGGTGGTCCCTCTACAGTCTGTGGTTAAAGGAACCAATAGAGACGAGCCTGAAGCTCAAATATACACAGGGCAGGGCAGCAATAGCCACACAGCCAAGATCAAGTGTTCCCTACAGGTAGATACGGTGTGAGTTCAAGTTCATGTTTTCCAAAAGGAGAAATCTGCTGGGCAAGTACAGAAATGTGGACCGGAAGGTTCCAGAAAGGGACTCCCTGGCAAGGGGGGAGCCCGGGATGGGGGGAGCACTGTCTTCTGGCTTCCTGCATTTTCCAGGGGCTGAGCTGTGGGCGGGAGGCAAGGAGACCACTGCTTGTTGTTTGATTCTGAACACTCGGAGTCTCTCTTTACCTGAGGGTCAGAGAGAGCTCCCCAAGCGCCTGCTGCCTCCGGGCCTGGGCCAGGAACTCAGGCATTCCTTCCTGGCCTCCCACACGGGCGGCACCAGCAGGAGGCTGGAGCCAGGTGTCGGAAGTGGGGGTTGAATCCGGGTACTCTGATGGGGAGGGTGGGCATCTTTTTTTTTTTTTAAGATTTTATTTATTTGAGAGGTAGAGCTATAGAGAGAGGAACAGAGAGCAGAAGGAAGACAGAGAGAGAGAGGTCCTCCATCGGCTGGTTCACTCCACAAATGGCTGCAGGGGCCGGAGCTGCGCTGATCCAAAGCCAGGAGCCAGGAGCTTCTTCCAGGGCTCGCACGCTGGTGCAGGGACCCAAGGACCTGAACCATTTTCTGCTGCCCTCCCAGGCCATAGGCAGAGCTGGCTTGGAGGAGGGGCAGCTGGACTTTAACTGGTACCCGCATGGGATGCAGCACCGGCTCCCAAGTGTGTGCATCTTACAACCACTAGGCTAAGTGCCAGCTCCGTGAATTCTTTTTAAAGAACATGTGAACTACTGTTGTTAAAAGGAAAAATATAAGCATATACAGTACAGTAGGATAGCAGCCACCCCTGGGTGACGGGGGACTTTATTACTGTTTTAAACATGCAAGGAAACGGTAATGCATTTTTTTTTTGGACAGGCAGAGTGGATAGTGAGAGAGAGAGACAGAGAGAAAGGTCTTCCTTTTGCCGTTGGTTCACCCTCCAATGGCTGCCATGGCTGGCATGCTGTGGCTGGCGCACCGCACTAATCCGAAGGCAGCAGCCAGGTGCTTCTCCTGGTCTCCCATGCGGGTGCAGGGCCCAAGCACCTGGGCCATCCTCCACTGCACTCCCTGGCCACAGCAGAGAGCTGGCCTGGAAGAGGGGCAACCGGGACAGAATCCGGTGCCCCGACCTGGACTAAAACCCAGTGTGCCAGCCCCGCTAGGTGGAGGATTAGCCTAGTGAGCCACGGCGCCAGCCAGGTAATGCATTTTAAAAACAGGTAAAAACGGATGGCATAGCCAGGAAAAATAAAATTTAATGAACACTTTAGAAACAAGTAAACTTCCAGGGATGCCAAGGCCACGGGCCTCGGTAGGGAGGGCTGGAACCACCGTGACCTTGACTTTGACCTTTCCTGTCCTTGCTGCAGGCATCGGCGTCCTCATCAGTGAGACTGGGCTGTGAAGCAGCGCAGGTGCAGGTCGCACTGTCCCCCGCCCCGCCCTGCATTAGGCCCCGCCCTGGACCCGCCCCTCGCCCTGCCGAGGAACCCGCCCCGCCCGCCACCTCTCAGCCCCGCCTGCCCCCCCCCCGAGCGCCCCGCCCCCGCGTGCCCACGCCCCTGCCCTACCGTGGAACCCGCCCCGGCCCCGCCCCCACACCCCATCCCCGCCCCCGCCGGCCCCGCCCCACAGCCACACCCCGCCCCGCCCTGCCGCCGGCCCCGCCCCTCGCACCACGCCCTGCCACGCCCTTCCGCGGGCTGCGCCCCGGCCCCGCCCCCGCAGCCCTGCCCTGCCGCCGGCCCCGCCCCCGCCGGGGCCCTCACTGGAGCTGGTTGATGATGACCATGCGGACGTGCTCCCGGGCTTTCAGGATCTTCTCCAGGCGGTGGATGTCGTAGGTGTTGGGGTTCCGGAAGGGGATGTCGTCGGGCAGGCCCGTGACCTCCACGGCGTCCGGGCTGTCTCGGATCAGCTTGTAAGGGACCAGCACGGGCCGGTTCAGGCCCAGGGCCTCACCTGGAGGGCACAGGGGCAGGGGAGGGGCCCCTGTCAGGCTGGGCCCTGGCGGCAGTGGGGGCGCTGCGGCCGCCGCCCCGCCCCTCCGCGGCGCCTACCGTAGTTCTCATTGAAGAGCGCCTTCCCACCTACCGTATTTCTCGTTGAAGAGCTCCTTCACCTGCTCCCGCAGGATCACCTTCTCCCCGAGCCTGTTGGCGTCGTCTTCATCTGCAAAGACAACCGGGGCATGAGAGTTGGCCCGGGCACCACGGCGCCTCCCCGGGGCGCCGCACCCTCGCCCTACCGGGACCCTGAGGGGCAGGGCAACAGATCTGTCGGTGGGCTGTCGGGAGTGCCCTTGGTGTGGGGCACACTGAAGCCTGTGGGCGGATGGGCCACCAAAGCTGAGTCCCAGGGCAGCCTTTCCGGGCCCACCCACTCCTGGGACCTGGCTATGTCCTCTCCCTGCCCCCGCCCTCTCAGCTGGGCCTACAGGAGCGGCTAAGGTCCGGCCAGCCCTGGAGAGAAGGCCGGGGCAGGTGGGCCTAGGGCAGAGCTTGCTGCCCAGCGCTGGGAAGCAGTGTGCATTGCTTATGCCCTGGGAAGAGCGGTGTGCAGCACCTGTGCAGCAGGGAGGGCCGTGTGCAGCATCTATGCCCCGGGAAGGGCCGTGTGCAGTCCCTGTGCACTGGAACGCACCCGGCCGCTAGGGCAGGGGGTGGGGTGGGAGATGCAGCTGGAAGCAGGCAGGGAGCCAGGGCCTGGGCCACAGGGGACAGGACCCGCATGAGTCTTTGGAACAAAACAGCTCCTGTTTTCATCCTGCCGACACGTGGTAGGGCTCACTTCCGCCGGGAGGCAGTCTGGAGACTCAAAGTCCTGGGCTGGGCCCTGAGTGGCTCAACCACCCCCTCCTCCGCCTGCCCTTTAGACCCCGAGGGGCAGCCTGGCCTCCCTCTAGTTCCCTGCCCGGGAGGAGCCCAGGATCCCGGTTTGGGTCACCCCATAAGGGCAGGGGGCTTCCCACACCACCCAGGGGCTGGGGCACTGCTCTGCCCCTCCCCCACCCCCTCACTGCCCCAGGCCCCCATCTGGTCTGTTCTTGACCACACCCCTGGGTGCCCTGGACAACACCCTTCTCTTTGTGCTGGTCTTGGGGACTGATGTTCCCACGCAGGCCCAGGCACCCTCCTCCCCAGCAGCCCCCACACAGCCCTTCCAGAGGGTCTCCAGGCCCTGGCACATGGCCAGAACAGACCCGACCCTGCTCCAAGTGCTGGGAAGACCAGTGATGCAGTTCTGGGCCTGCCAGGAGGCGGGGACACTTCCACTCTGTCCCCTGGCCACCAAGGACGCCTCTGGCGACAGAGTCCTCAGCAGACAGGCAGCCCCCGACCCAGCAGAGGGAAAGACGACCCCACACCAGCGGCTCAGAGCAGTTAAGTCGCTTGCCCGAGGCCGCACAGCCCCCGGAATCCTGTCTGACCCCAGAAGCATCAGTGTCCCACATGGCAGAAAACAGGGCTGGATCTTTAAGGCCTTTCTCTCTCCGCCCCTCGATCTCTCAGCCCTCAGCCCGCAGTGCCACATCTGTCTGCCCAGGGAGGGGCTTGCAGCTGGTGTTTGATGAAGCCGCAGTGCTGTGTTGTCCTAAGAGACCCAGCAGAACAGGGGACGGCAATGGCAGGGTAATCGGGCCTGACCCAGCCGGGAGTCAGGGCGGCTTCTTGGAGGAGGTGGCAAGCACACAGAGGTGGCACCTCCTTCCCAGTCTTGCAGCATTTGGGGCGGGGGGGGGAGGGCAACCCCCACAAGGTCACAGCTACCCAGGGCGAGGGGCACTCGCGGGTGTGTATGGGAGTGGGAGGGTGCCCAGAAAGCTGACTCCTCGTGCCCCTGGGCTCTGGGAAGGCACAAGCTCAGCCCAGAGTCTCCTCCCACCTGTTTGTTTTTATTCAAGGGAAGGGAGGTCTTTTTTTTTTTTTTTTTTTTTTTTTTTTGACAGGCAGAGTGGACAGTGAGAGAGAGAGACAGAGAGAAAGGTCTTCCTTTGCGGTTGATTCACCCTCCAATGGCCGCCGCGGTCGACGCACCACACTGATCCGAAGCCAGGAGCCAGGTGCTTCCTCCTGGTCTCCCATGGGGTGCAGGGCCCAAGCACTTGGGCCATCCTCCACTGCACTCCCTGGCCACAGCAGAGAGCTGGCCTGGAAGAGGGGCAACTGGGACAGAATCCGGCACCCCGACAGGGACTAGAACCCGGTGTGCCGGCGCCGCAAGGCGGAGGATTAGCCTAGTGAGCCGCGGCACCGGCAAGGAGGTCACTTTTAAGGATAAGTATTTTTTTTAAGTATATTTTCCATTTTTATTTGAAAGGCAGCTAGAGAGATGGACAGAGATCTGCTCTCCACTGTTTCACTCCCCAAATGCCTGCAACACCCAGGACAGGGCTAGACTGAAACCAGGGAGCCAGGAGCTCCATCGGGGTCTCCCCCGTGGGTGGCAGGGTGCGCATTGGCAGGAAGCTGGATGGGAAGCGGAGGAGCTGGCCCTCCCTCACCGGACATGGGTGTCCCAAGTGGTGATTGAACCGAATGGAGTGGGACGGGGTGGGTCCCTGGGGGGCGGTGCTGGAGGGCAAATGAGGAACCCACTGTCTGGGACGGAACGTGACCCGCAGGGGACAGCTGAAGCCCCTGCGCCCCTGCGCTCTGCGCCCTCCCTGGGTTGGAGTCTGTGCGGCAGCCCTGACCTTCTCAGCCCCAGGTTGGAACAGGGGTGAGGCTCCCACCTGCTCAGGCACTTGTGTGGGGCTTTGGGCTGCACAGGCCTGTGCCTGACCCTCGACAGGAGCGGTGGCCATCGCCGGGGACTGAGCGGGACAGCCCACACGGCCCAGGCTAGTGGGTCAAGAGGTGTCTTTTCAATAGAGCCCGGCTCACTCAGGGAGCCCCCCAGGGCTGTGCTGGGTCAGGCCGGGGCCACCTGTGTATCTGCTTTGCAGCTGGGCGAGACACGGATCAGGAAGGCAGCTACGGCGCTGCTGCGAGCCCTGCTCGGGGTGGGGGGTTGGAGCAAGCATCAGAACCCTGCCAGGCCATGGGCACAGCACAGGGCTCTTCCGAAGACCGCCTGCCTGGGTTCACGGCAGCGCGTGACTTTGGGCGAGTCCCTAGGGCGGCCATGACGTGGTGGGTGTCAGGGCTGGCGGTTAAGTCACAGGTTAGGACACCTGCCCCCGACCCACAGGGCTCTGCCCCTGATGCCAGCTTCCAGCCAGTGCACACCTGGGAGGCAGCAGCTGAGGGCTCCCGTATTTGGGTCCCCCCGCCACCCGCATGGGAGACAGGGATGGAGTTCCGGATCCTGGCTTTGTCCCCAGCCCTGTATGCTGTGGGTGTGTGGGTAGTGTACCAGGGGCTTTCTCTCTCTCTGGCTCTCAAACAGATAAACTTAGGGGCCGGCGTGGCGGTGCAGCAGGTTAAGCCGACATCCTATATTGGAGCGCTGATTCACTTCCGGTCCAGCTCCCCGCTCATGCACCTGGGAAGGCAGCAGAAGATGGCCCGAGTGCTTGGGCCCCTGCACCCATGTGGGAGACCCGGATGGAGCTCCTGGCTCCCGGTTTCAGCCCCTGTCCTGGATGTTGGTAGTAAAGCCGCCAGCCAGCTGCCGTGGGGTAAGCCTGTGGGTGAGACCCACGTGTCTGTCACCACGGTTCTGCGTGCTGCCCTGGAACCAAGGGCAGCCAAAAGAGACACGAGTGGTGGCAGACATTCCAGAGTGTTCTCTGGAAATGTCACAGTCAGGACTCAGCGCAGACAGAGGCAGAGAGAGTGTGCTACAGGACACAGTGGGGGGAGCCTCCAGGGGCTGCTGGCGAGAGAAGGCCCCTTGATTCTAACTCTGCCCTGGGTAGGGGCGGGGCAGGGCACTCAACCTCGCTGGGCCTCAGTTTCCACGTCTTTCAAATGGGAGGCGTCAGAGGCACACGTGGAAAAGCCTCGGGTGCCGTGTCACCGAGCTCCGCGTCTCCCCAGGCCACGCTCACACACGTGACTCCCCGGGGGCGGGCCTTTTTCCTCCTCTTGGATTTCCTCTTGGGTTTGTCCTGTCTGTTCTGGAGAGAACATTTCCTTCCTTCCTTTCTTCCCCCCCCCCCCCCTTCCTTCCTCTTTTTAAAAAATATTTCTTTGAAAGGCAGAGTGACAGAGAGACAAAGAGGTCTTCCATCCGCTGGTGCACTCCCCAAATGCCTGCAACGGCCAAGGCTGGGCCAGGTCAAAGCCAGGAGCCAGGAGCTCCATCCGGGTCTCCCAAGTGGGTGGCAGAGGCCCAAGCACGTGGGCCCTCTTTTGCTGCTTTCCCAGGCGCATTAACAGGGAGCCGGATCGGAAGTGGAGCAGCTGGGACTTGAACTGGCGCCCATTGGGATGCTGGCTTAACCCGTTGCAGCAACCGCTAGATCACTAAGACGCATGATCCAGGGCCTTCCAGAAAGTGCTGCGGGCCCTGGCCACACAGCATCGACCAGCTGCCCAGCCCCCCGGCGCCAGTCTCCTGCCTCTCCCTGCTCGTCCTCTGGACTCTTCCCTGCCCACAGCCCAGTCCCCCGTCCTGTATGATCAACACCAGGAGGTGTGCAGGACCTTAAAGCAACTGGCTCAGGGGGATGCCTGGGGTGGGGTGGGGTGGGGGTGCGGTGCCCACAGCCCTCTTCCAGGTACAAAAGCCTGGAGCAGCCCTGGCCTCTTCCTGCCCAGTCTGAGGACTTCCTGGGCAAGGGCCGTGGGAGGGGACAGCTGTGCTCAGGCAGGGAAAGGTGGGTGCTCCCCCTCCCCTTCGTGGGGGCCCCTCCTCACTCCAGGTCTGGCAGGTGCGTGTGTGGCTCTTGGTGGGGTACCACCCTCCTGCTGCAGCTTGCACACTGCCTCCCTCTCCTGGCACCAGAAATTCCACCATCTCCATTTCACAGGTGAGGTGACTGAGGCTCGGGGGCGGGAAGCAGGGACGGGGTGGAGGCCCCTGTGGCTCTCCCTGCTGCCCCAGGCCTGGGGCCTGGACACAGGTACGGGGGGGGCCTGCCTGCCTCCTCGAAGGGAGCCCTTCCATCGTGGCACTGAGCTGGCTGAAGTCTCGGGTCTCTGAGGCCCTTTCCCAGCCCTCCAGGGCCCAGATACAGAGGGGGTGGGAGAGGAGCCTGCTGGGGTCTACACTCACAGGCCTTG